CTTTATTGGATTTTAATCTGATGTAGTTGTACTTGAAAACCGTAACTGTATTTGTCTGCTTAAATTACAGCACTGCTTCAATGCATATTGTAATACCTTTCTTGTAAATACTAACTAATTGCAAAAGTTTACCTTTTGGGTAAAAGCTCCCATGGCATATTTACTAAAATGAGGTTTCCAAATTGCAGAAGCAACAAGTTCTATGTGCAAAGGTCCTATAATATCCCATGCTTTAAAATTTTCTTAACTATATATATATTGATTTCAATAATTAAAATATGAGTTTACTTTTATTTTTATTGAATAGAAAATCATTAAATTGAATGTTCTATTATTAGCTCCAATATTCCATTCAGTATCATATGGTGTGAACAAAGAAATTATAACATCTTTGTTCTCATGATATATTGACTAATGCTTATCTAACCATTAATAATTAGCACCTGAGTTGTTTTTTTTTTTTTTTTTAATAATCTAACCATTAATAAATAGCACCTGAGGTTGTTTTTTTTTTTTTTTTTTTTAATAATGTTCAAGTTTAAATGGAAAAATTATACAATTGTTGTTTTTTTTTTTTTTTTTAATAATGTTCAAGTTTAAATGGAAAATTATTAATTGCATTTATATATTTTTATCACCGTATGAACAAATTATATTTTTATATAGAGGACTGCATTATCATAATCATTTTTTTTTTTTGTTGGGTATAAATGTGAATGAGATATAATAATAGTTTTTGCTGACTTACTCATAATTATAGTGTATGATTAATATAGTTCAAGTATTAACCACTAATTTGAATAAGTGGTTGGGAGTGTTCAATTAGCATTTAAATTTCACAATAATTAAAATACTTGGTAAATAAATTAATTGGTATAATAATAATAATGTATTAAAATCATTTTCGTTAATTTTAAATCTACATTTCTCCTTCTCAAAAAAAAAAAAGTTTCTAATTATTATTTTATCCTTTCTATTACTTATTAATACTTGGCTATAAAAATTATGAATTAATTATTAACTGCATATTAAACAAAATTTACTAAAAAATGATTAAATTAGTAAAAGTATGCTATATTTTCATATGAATTTTACTTAAATACCATTTTAATTTGAAAGTAACATTAACTATATAAACCAATATTATTTTAAAGGACTAGTTATTATTTATAGAAAAGTTATTATTTTATTGTCCAAGTCTTTTGATTTTAAAGGACTAGTTATTATTTATAGAAGAGTTATTATTTTATCGTCCAAGTCTTTTGATTGTTAAAAGATTAACGAATTCTTTTTTATAAAAAAAAAAAAATCAGCGAATTCTATTAGCTTCTGAAAATAAATTTTCATATCTAATCTATACAAGTATTTGGTAATATTTGATATTATAATTAATAAATTATATCTTTAAAAAAAACTATACAAACAAGAAAAAATTAAAAGTGGATGAATATAATTTTAGAAAACTGATAGTAATGTACTATGTTTTGAAACATGAAATTAAGAAGGAGAGAAAATTGCCGGTGGTGTTGGATTCCAAAATTAAGGACTTGAAGCTTCCACATGGCTGATGCAATGCAATGCAACCACCATTATTATTATTATTATTTCAGCTCCGTTATTAAAGGTTTAATTTGGTCAAATTATGTCAGTAGAGGCGCCCAAGTACTTGCCGGCTGGCCATTGATTTCCCTTGCTCGTAATTCACATTTATTCTATCATTAAAATATTTTTTTATTGGTTTTTTCACTCTTTATAAAAATAAAAATAAATTCAATTTTGCTCTATTTTTTCCCTTCCTTCTCTTCTTCGTTTCTCTTTGTTTTCTTTATCTTTTACATTTCTTCTCCTTGTTTTATTTCCATTTTATATGAAGTATGTGCCTTTTATTTTTATTGAATAATATCTATTTTACAAATGTTGATTTAGAAGTTGGTAATATAGCCAACTTACCCTACATTATAATTCCTCTATTTGAATTAGTCATAAGTAATAAGTCTTTAGATAATCCGATCAAGTAAGAAATATTTGGGGAATTTATTTTATTTATATTATTAACTGGTTTTATTAGAGTTTTATGTAAGATCAATTAAACATATTGTATTTTTTTTAGTTATGAGAATTTATTTTATATCTGGTCTTCCGAGAAGGACTAATATCTTTTTTATTTTTATTTTTTTGAAATGGAAAGCAAGAGTTCAAAAAAACGAAATCCCATCTCTCGTTGGCTGTTTGCATTGATTGAAATTTGATTTTTCAAATCCTAATGTTTTTTTTTTTTTTTAAAAAAAATCTATTGTTATATTTCAATCCATTTAGGTTCTATATAAATAAAATTATATTTTTATTTTTGAAATTTGGATGGAATGTGAATTTGTGGTCTAGGTAGAGGGGTTTGAGCATGTGATGATGCATGTGGAGATTTATAATGTCATTGTCATATTTAATGATGCATGGGCTTTTCTTATATTCATTTCTATACTTTTATTTTGTTAATTTAACTTTTAAATTTTATTATTGAATTGCTTCCTGTTTTGGGGGAAAAAGGATCCTTTGGATTTGAGTTGCCTTCTGATTTACTCACTTACGAGCTGGTCCCACATGATTGCCGGCCTTCAATAATCTTAACAAGGAACTTCTTTACTTTATCATCTCCTTTTTTGATATTTTTTTTATCAAATAATAGAATTTTAAGTATAAAGTCTAATTAATAAAAAAAAGTATTTATTTTATTTATTCCATTGATACTTTATTTAGTAAATTCAATTAAATTAACTAATCATATATTTGTTAGTTAGTTTTATCATTCGTTTAAAAATGCAGAGAGTAAAAAATCGTGTAGCTCACAGTTCTATACCGACTCATTTGACTTTTAATAAATAAATAAATAAAATTATATAAAATTGAATGGATATTTCTTTTTCTACTTACTATAAGTGACATCCTTGAGCCAATTAAGTCGTATTGTACTACAATGGTAAAAAAAGTCAAATAAATTAGCCAACATCTGGAATAATGAAAAATAACCTTCCAAAATACTGCAGTAAATGAATAAAGATATCCATATTGCAAGCTCTTTTTTACTAGTAAAATTTTTTTTATATGCCAAATTTATTTGATATTCCAATAATTCTTTTTTTTAAATGAATTTATGAGTTATTTTATATGTTTTGAACGAAAGAAAAATAAAACGAGTAATCTCTTCCTTTATTCAATAGGCCTTTCTAGTTTATATGAATTAAAACTATAATCACGTAAATTTCTAAAAAAAATTAGATAAATTTCTTATTACTATTTACTAATTTTTTTTACTAAATATAGAAAATATAAAAAGAAAAACGTATAGAAATGTATATGGAGGGGGGAATTTTTTTTGCTTGTAGGTAGACGCAATGAGTTTGGATTTATTATTGATAAGCAGTTTCTGGGAAAGGCATCCAAACAAATTATTTAAAAGGGAGGGCCGAAGGAAATCAAAAGTATCCCAACCACTAAGATACTAACCCAAATAAGTTGACTTTTCCTATATATTTTTTTACTAAATATAGAAAAAATAAAAAGAAAAACGTATAGAAAATTGTAATATGGAAGGGGGGAATTTTTTTTGTTGTAGCTAGACGCATGAGTTTGGGAATTTATTATTTGATAACAGTTTCTGGGAAAGGCATCCAAACAAATTAATTTAAGGGAGGGCGAAGGAATCAAAAGTATCCCAACCACATAAGATAACTAAACCCAAATAAGTTGACTTTTTCCTATAATATATATAGTAATATATATATATATATAATATATATATATTAATATTTTTTTTTTTTGTGTGTATTTATATATATTTTTTTTTTGTGTGTATTTTTCCATTATTAAGTACATGCTCATTTTTGCATTAATCATTATTAAGATTAATTGTTTGAAATCCAGATCAGTGTTTTTAAAATTAGACCAAATATCGAATTGGATTTATACCGATTGCACCCACTACTAATTTTTAACACATTCACTGCATTTATACGTTATTTGTTAATTAGGTGTGGTCTAATTGGTATTTTTGCTTAGAATCATCTCGACCATAAGGACCAATTTGGTGAGTACAAGGAGAAGGTAGAAGGTTGGACTATCACTGTTGTGTATTCCGCAGGGTTATTTAATCTCTTTGAAAGACCATTAATCAATAAAAAACTAAACTTACTATTTAGTTACATGCGAAGCCCAATAAATCAGAATAATATTGTGGTGGGCTACCCAGCATAGAGTATTACATGCTTTTTGAATGACATTCAAAATTGGTGATAACTTTTGTGATAGAAAAATCTCGAACTCGAGACCTATCACTCCGTACATCTTCTACGAAAAATTGGAAGATCAATCAAATCAAACTGTACTAGCTTCAAAATTTACTATTAAACATGATAAAATTATGCTAGTCTCGTCACTTAGAGAAATATATATATTTTTTGGTGCGATTCGAGAAAAGAAGATAAAAAAAAAATTATTACAGCATCTTGAATAAGAAATGTCAATCACATCATGCAATAACAAAGGAAGACAATGAAGCATATGAAACCCTAAAGCTTATTTAGTTAATTAAATAAAGATTTATCCTTTATTTAGTTAATTAAAACCTATATTAATTTTACATTTAAAATTTAGAATTTCAATTGAATTCTTTTTAGAATAAGCACTAATTTAGTGATTTATTTTTATTTAGTATTTACCCTGACTAAAATTTATTTTATTTTTCATTAATAATAAACACTAGTAAAAAAGAGAAAATAATAATATTACAAGATAGATAGACATTTGACTATAAAATGATTAGCTTGATGCCTAATAAGTTAAAATATTTTGAAATGTAAAACTAAAAATTAAATAATTAATTTGTTTGGTTAAACATATCTAATTGAATTAATTTAATAATAATATGAAAAAAACATCTCAGGGCATCTAAAATTATTTTAAAATCTCCTTTTATCTTTTTTTTTTCAGTTATTCATTATAAATGGATGCTATTGCTCTGTCCACGCCTAATTCTCTTGTTATCTGTTTCTTTCTCTCTGAGTACTTCTTGTCTCTGTATTTTCCTCTGTTTCCTTGCAAACAAAAGCTTCTATGTTATCTTCTTTTTATAATTCTTGACCTTAATTCTCCATTTCCTACTGCTTTTTCCATTACTTGTTATCTTCATACGTAAAGACACATAAAAAAGTACCTGTAACTAGATTTGGCCCCTGAACCTGAAAAAGAGAGAGACACAGAAGCAATAATTCAAAATTTTTTAGCTTATCAGTAACCCTAAATTCTGTTTTGGATGGGATTTCAGAGAAGAGTTTCCTGAGTTTTTTCTTGGTGGAAAATTCATGGTTTTAACAAGTATTGCTTTTCCTTCTATCACAAAAAGGAAAATCTTGGTAATTGCTCTGGTTTTAGGTTTATGTATTAAAATTAAATATAGTATTTTTTTATATTTCTTGATTTTTTTTTTTTTTTGTTGCTATTACTTCAGTAAAGAAATAAAGATTTTCAACACAGAAGCTAGAACCATGTCATCGTCTCTTCTAGCAAGAACGGGGCGACACCGACAACGTTATGAGAACAATGTTCGCCTTGTTTCTGGGTAATTTTTCTTCTTCTTCTTCTTCTGTTTATCTCTTTTAATGTAAGGGGAATCTGAAGAACAGAATTTATTTATACATTATTTAATTATATTAAATTCAATATTAAAGTAACTATTTTTCATACTTAATATAAAAGAATTAAAAATAGAAGAATATTAAATTAATTTTAGTGGTAGTTTCCTATTTGTCTTTCTCTGCTTTTCTTTTTTGGTTTGTTTGCATTCCATTTCTGTTTCTATCAACCTCAGTATTGAATTTCTACCTATTTTGTTTTATTTTTGTCTTGGAGAAGTATTATGGTACAAGATATACTTTTGTAATATAGTGATCAGGCATACTAACTTTTATGTTAAACCCAAATTATAATTATAAATATAAATAAATTTTAAATTCAATATAAACAGAAATCAAACTTAAAATTTTTGAATTTCAAGACTCAAGAGTTTATTATTTCTACTAAATTCAGCTTTTAATATGAATACAAAATATAATGTAACTTAGATTTTAAATGCAACATACATAATTGAGCTTGATTTTTTTTTTTTTTTTTTTTTTGAATTTTTTTTTTTTTTTTTTTTTTGTATGGGTTTTTTTTTTTTTTTTTTTTGTATGGGATGAGTGGTTCATTGAACCAGAATAATATTATGAGTTAAATAGTAAATTCACAAAATTACTGATAATTTTTATAGTAGAGAGTACTCGAAGTAAGACTTAATACTCTTTATATCTTTTATAAGACGTAAGAAGGCCAATAAAATTATATTTACCAGTTAATTGAGTTGGTTAATGACCTCAATTTCCGTAAAGGTAAAAACAAGTTCGATTTTCAGATATCACCTTTACCCTTACGGCAATTAGGCTATTATATTAATCCACCCGTAATTGAAAAGCGTTGTTTTTTTTGTCATTTTATAGACACAATCTTATCAGTTATGGACTAACAGGAGAATCTGAAATTGTTAATTATGCTAAATTATCTTCTCATTATAAGAAAATTATATTATTGACTTTTTCTAATAGCTGATCGTGGGATTTTGCATGATGTATTTTGTCCTATTAGTGGAATTTTGTCACGTGAAAACAATATAATGAATTAGTTAAAGCAAGTAAGCAACCATGGTTTGGCCTTTACTGTATATTTTGGTAGAGGCAGCAGGATTTAGGTGATGGATTTGAGAGGTGATTACGCAGTGGGGCTTCAAGTTATAGCCACACAAAATGATACCCAAACTTTTTTTTTTTTTTTTTTTTTTTTTTTTTTTTTTTTTTTTTTTTTTTTTTTTTAAATATAGTAGTAATAATCTTTACCTTGTAGTCGTTCAAGATGCAAATTTTTACCTGCTGAACAATATCTTTTTACCCTCAAAACTTATGAACATTTTTAAAATTAATAGAAGAAAATATTCTTGATTTATAAAATTATACTTACTACATTTTTAATATTTAAATTGTAATCATTTACTTATTGAAAATATAAAATTAATAAAAGAAAATGTTTAAGAGTCTGTAAATGATTAATGTTGTTTAGGATTTTAATTTTATTTCATTTACCAATTTATGCTAAAACATCCAATAATTAAAATTCATTGCGGATAGTTTTAAATAATGGTGATTTTAATTAGTAATACGGTAAAGTTATTCCACTTCTAACCTGAAAGTCACACTTTGACATAAATTAATTCTGAGGCGAGAGGATCATGAGTCAAATATTTCAATCACTTTTGCAAATGATTTGACTCGTTGAATTAATTAGATGTCAAAAAACATTTGACTCAATAATAATTGTTGAAATGCTATAAAGAAATAAAACTCTCCTGATCCTGATGACTTGTGTTGTGTGTACAAACAGATGTATACCATACAGACTGATAAAAGACAACGATGAACAAAGCAATGACGACATAGAGAACAAAATACAAGTTCTCATGATTTCTTCACCAAATAGAACCGATCTTGTATTTCCTAAGGTACGCATTGCTCTTGAAAATTCAGTCTCAAAATTGAACTAGCATTGATAGTTTTTTGTATTATTCTATCAGGGAGGATGGGAAGATGATGAGACTGTGTTCGAAGCTGCCTGTCGAGAAGCTATTGAAGAAGCAGGAGTAAAAGGAATACTTAGAGTATGTGTTGTGCAGGCAAGAAGTTTCCATAAATTTAAGTGTATTGTGAAATGCTGAGAGTAATTCGTTTTCATTTTTCAGGAAGTTCCCTTAGGAGTTTGGCATTTCAGAAGTAAGAGTAGACAGGATCCGTGCAGCCTGGAAGGAGGCTGCAAAGGTTTCATGTTTGCATTAGAGGTGACTGAAGAGCTCGAGACCTGGCCTGAGCAGGAAAATCACGACAGGAAATGGGTTAGTATGCTATCACTTATGTTATAATACACTTGAATGCACTTGTACTGAAACAAAAATTACGAATTCTGCAGCTAAACATAAAAGAGGCATTCGAATTTTGCCGATATGAATGGATGCGGGAGGCATTAAGAAATTTTCTAAGAGTAATGGAAGAGAAGAAGAAAGTTGAGACAATAAGAGAAGAGATAGTAGAACTTTCTTCAGTGCCAATACCAGAAATTGTTGAAGAATGTTCATTACTGTCAACAAATTGCTGTGTAAAACCTGTTAGTGTCAATCACAATGGTATTATTCCATTCACCTGGCAAATTCCTCTTAAGGGCTTCCCATTGACATAAACAAGTACATCTGATGCTGTTATATTGTTCTATCTTTCATTTCTTCTGATTGTAGACATTAATTTTTCGTATTTGTTTCTTAGGAAGAATTTGTATGAAACGTCCTATTTGAAATTGTACTGCCAATATGTAATCCCCATTTTCTTCCACCCTTTCGTCATTTATCTTACTCGACGTTTGACACAACAAAGATAACTAATTTAAATCTTAAACTTTAAAATCTCAATTTAAACTAGGTTCCAAGTTCTTTGAATAAATATCTTGTATCTACAAGATTGTTTAGAGGGTATTTAAAATGATTAATATAAAATTAAAATTTCATAAATTCGACTATAAAATCATATGAAATTTATGTGCACCTAAAAAATGCATATTTATTTAGCTTCAGATGTAATTAAACTCATGTAAGTTGTTTTTTCCAACTTAAAAGAGTCTATTTTTTGAAAAGTAATTCAACTTTAATGTCAAATACACTCTTAAAAACACCTATTTGCATCACCTAATGGGCCAAGATCATAATTACAAGTGTAATCCAAGATTTGGGCTGTGGGCTTGAGATTTAAGTGGAGGCTGGCTCATGATACGATGTCAGCCCAATCCGTCTCATATTAGACTAGTGCAGCATATATAGGTTTTTGGTTCACACCTCGGAAGATCCACCTCCAGGATTGGTCTCTTAGCTTTTGGATGATTCACTTCGTGTAACCTGTTCTAAATTGTGCTTGTTTTCTTAGAGCTATACTCTCTTATTTTACTAGAGAAAAAAAAAAAAAAAAAAAAAAAAAAAAAAAAAAAAAAAAAAAAGAGAAAAAGAATAAAAATGGTCATTGATTCAAATTTGTGAGTTATAAAGAGAGTTATGTACACGGTCTTATTCTGCTTTATAGAGAAGTTATTTCCGTAACTTGAACTCATGGCTGGGAGACAGGGACATTTACACCAAAGTCACCTTCAAAAGTGCTTTAATATATAGTATAAAAGAAATGGAGAAGTTAATATAAGCAATTGGTTTGAAGCTGTAAAACAAATAATGGCATGGCAGACGAAAATCCTGGAAAAGATGTTCCTGCTTGCATCTTATAAATTGATGGATTTGCACACAGACACATCTAACTTTTGACCACCAAAGTGGGATGTCTTAAATAAATATATTGTTGCTGATGGAAAATTGACGAACTGAGCAACGAGACAGAGACAATCCTACCAGAATTCCTGGAAAGAACACGTGCACACAGCATTTGCTTCCCTCTTCCTTTTTATTTCAAAGTCCAAAAGAACAATCAATCTTTCGTTTCTAATTTTTGAACTTCCTTTTCACAGGCCAATATATATAGGTTTGACTACATCTTTCTGAGGTTTTACCTTTTGTCATTATCTTAATTTTAGGTTATCTATAATTGGATTCAGAAGATGGCTTAAGATTTCTTAACCATGACATCATTGTTAGGATTATAATTGATCCCGAGTGGGGTCTGCGGAAAAATACCGTTGGTAAAAGTAAAATAAAATTACTATTACCACATATACCTCCAATAATTAAATATTGAATATTGACGATCGAATCCACCAGAAATAATAATCACAATAATCACGGTAAAAATTAAATAATGTACCAGTAAATTGCCAGATAAAAAAAATTAAGAAACCGAAGATTTACGTAGTTCACCCTTCAACGTATGGGCTACGTCCACGGGACAAAAAACTCCTAATAATTCTTCTACTAAAAAATTGTAGATACAAAAGAGATTAAAAAAATATGGTACTCTAAGTTTAATTAAAAACACCCCAAAATTTTCAATCTCACTTTTTTTTTTATTTCCCATTTTAGGAAACCCTTTCCTAAAAAATTTTCTACATTTCAATAGTGTATTCCCCTATTTTCTTATATTTTGTTTTTGGTACACATTAATGAAGGAAAACCTTCTCCTTTTTATAGGAGAAGGGGTACGCATGACGCATTTAATCAACGCGTCCACTTTTCCTTTTTTTCTTTCTTTCTTTGGCACCGTCCTTTGAAATAACAAAATGAACGTACGTTCTTTTTTTTTTCTTCTCAGACTCCACCAAAACAAAAAACGTGTTTTATATTTTTTTTTTCTTTTCCAAACAAAATGAACGTGCTTCTTTTTTTTTTTCTTCTCAGACTGCCACCAAAACAAAAAACGTGTTTTATATTTTTTTTTCTTTTCAAATGTGTGTGGGTCCCACATGTCGGAGGGACCCCACAATCCCATGTATTCAATTTTGGTATTATTGTAATTTTAATAAAAATTATGTTGAGTCGATTATTTATCTTATAGTAATATGTAAATAAAAACTTCAACTTAGATCAATTTCTCAAAGTAACTAATTAAGTTAAAAATTGAATCCATTGTTTTGTTGTATTAGAAGACAAATGTAAATCATTAATTAATAGCAGATTAACTAATATTCTCCATTGATGCTAAAGCTAATTACACAATAATAATAATAATAATAATAAAGTTACTAATAAAATGGTGGATGTTCTTAAAAATAGTATCCCAAACTCTAACATTTGGCAGACAAAGGAAACCTAACACGACCATTTTAATTTGGTCCACCTGAAAAGAAATTAGACTAATTAAGATTGAGAATCCAAAAAGGTCTAAATTGAATAACTTATATATTATTGGGGTTAAGAAGATTGAATGGGACATAGAGTTTTGGGTAGTATGAGATGCTGCCCACTTTGGCTGCACATGGGGGAAAAGGAAATACCATGTTTGAAGAAACCCCACAATCAAACATAGGCTTCATGTTCTTAGGATTTGGTGTTTTCAATGTACACCCACTTTCTTAATTTCTCCACCATTTATTTAATCATAAATGCCCAACATTTGGAATTTAGATGTTTGTCCATTTACTATCTTTTGGTATCATTACAATTTTATTTGTAGCTAAATGAGTTTTTCTTTGTATATAATTCACTAACAAACACTAATACAATAAAAATATAATTTTATTTCATTTTCCATTCAAATTTAATATCTTTATTTGATTTTTCATTGATCTAAATTTAATTTTAATAAGAATTAACAACAATACTAATTTTGTTATCCAAATTTGTACATTTTGAATGGCTAAGCATTAAAAAAAAAACTCAAATTTTGAGTTTTTATTTTTAAAATTTGGCCTATATTTTAGTTTTGTCAAGCAATACCTTGTACTTATTTTTTATTATCAATTATAGACTTCAATCAGGTGTGATTGAGTGATATAGCTCCAGTAGCTAAGAAACCTACTTAGCAGACTTTAGGGTTATTGACGGTGCAAGCTGCTCACCAATAGTCCATTAATTATAAAATCGTACCAAATTCTTTTAAGTTTGTCATAAGATAAGAAAGAGATTGTCTCAACAAAATAATCTTTCAAAAAATTACCACATAAATGTGAGCTGATGTGTTATGGGTAAATTAACGGCAAAATAAGTAATAAACAGATGGACTCTAAATGTAGGCTGCAATTAAAAAGTCTAAGGTGGTAATTTACAAAAATATTAACTAAATTTATCAAAAGCGTCAAAATTCATTTTTTTATTATTATTTATGATTTAGCCATTTTTGAATATATATTCTCTTTTTATGATCTTTAAAAAAATATTTCAAAGAAAGAAATTAGAAATGAGTGAATGCATATAGTCCACTAACAATGATGAATCCTCGAATGAAGGGATCAAAGCATGTGTTTATGTCCGGAGAGTGAGAGATATATATAAATAATAGATATAACATGGTTCGATGGTAATCCTCATTTCACTAATTAAGGTCCATTAGGACACCCAAAATAGCAATTATCGAAAAAGACAGAACACTGAATAATCAGACTCAAATCCAAATGAAGGATTTATAATCCAAATCCCAATGGAACTTTCACTAATCTTTTTCATCAACTTGTATGTGCATATGGTGAAAAAATAATGCATTTTTGTACCTTTTCAGGTCTTTAGGTTTTTGACCTACACTGCCTCGACGGACCAATTTTCCTAACTAGGTATACCCAAATAAAAATGAAAAGAAAAAAAATCATGAGACATTCCTCAATTTTTGGATATTTTTGTTTCATGCATTGACATGCAACATTTTTATGGTATCGATATTCAATTTATTTTTTCAGTTTACTTAAAAGATTGACTAACCCATACAAGAAATATTTATAAATAAAAATATATTTCATCATTCATTGTCTAATCTTGAGAATCAATATATTTATTTATCAATAAAATTGAGAGTAAATCCCTTTGCATGAACTAATAAATTACATCTTATTTGACTAACAAAATATTGATTACGATTATATTTTTATTTATATATTTCGATCTTCCTTTCGTAAGTATCTTAAGTTTTCATTTAGATAGAATTACAATAATATAATTTCTTTTCCTATATATGATGTGTGATAACCATAATATTGTGTACTAATATAAAATGAATCATATAGCTTTCATTTTCCTTCACAAAAAATATTTATTACACTCGTTTTACTTATTCTGGAGTTTGTGACTATTCCTTTTCGCAATTGCTTGAAACCATATTACTAATAGTTTGTTATTTTAAAATTTGTTGTCTTTTGAAAAATTCTAATAGCTCTTGATATATATATATATAGTTAGTTTAAGGTAATTAGGAATAATAAGACAAAGTACTTATCATTAAAAAATAATCAAATAATGGACCATACTGAAGTGGAACATATAGTCAAAAAGCCACATAGTTTTGCATTCTATGATTAACATAGTGCCTAGTCATTGTTTTGTTCACAAAAGGTGCCTATGTGTTTCTATCACATGCCACCCAACATGGCTTCCCCTCCTTTGAACTCCTTTACATCCTTCCTCTTATTAATTTGAAAGGGAAAGCTTCAAACTTAGGAAAACCCATGATTTGAAAAAGGCAAAAATCATCAATGTAAATAAATATATATATATGTGTCAAAAAAAAAAAAAAAAAAAAAAAAAAGATATGTCGCAAAAAAAAATAAAAGAAAAAAAAAAAAAAAAAAAAAAAAAAAAAAAAAAAGAGAAAAGAAAAGAAGGCTTGGGCTTGAAAAAGAAGGATGTGGCACTTATGATTGATTCAATTTCAGGCTCAAATTGGATGCACATGGCTTTGCAATGATAATCCTTAATCAC